GGGGAGGAAGGGGAGGAAGGGAAGGAAGGGAAGGAAGCGAAGGAAGCGAAGGAAGCGAAGGAAGCGAAGGAAGCGAAGGGAGAAAAATGAAAAGAAAGGAAAAGAACAAAAAGAAACAGAAAAAGAAAAAGAAAAAGAAAGGAGTACTTCTCACTTTATCAATCTGGCATAACACTAAGATCAAAATCTGATAAAGATGTTATATGTGAAAAAAATATATATAGGCCAGTATTGCTCATGAACACAGATGCACTTGAATCCAACAATATATAAAAGGGATAATAATAAGTAGGGTTTAACTCAGGAATGTAAAGGTGGTTTAATTTAGACGATCAATCAGTAAGATTCACTACATTAACAGTGTAATGGAATAACATTCTGTGTTCATTTCAATAGACATAGAAAAGGCATTTAACAGAATTCATCACCTACTCAGGATCAAATCTCTCAGCAAAACTAGCTAGAAGGGGACTCCCCCGACCTAACAAAAGGCATCTACAAAAACCCATGGCTGTTACCACTCTTAATGCTTTCTACTTTGGGAAAAAGGGAAGAAGGTCTAATCACACTACTTGTACTCAAGCATTAGACAGAGATACTAGCCAATACAATAATGCAAGCTAAATAAATACAAGCGTAAAAACTGGAAGGAAGGAAGGAAGGAAGGAAGGAAGGAAGGAAGGAAGGAAGGAAAGAAGGAAGGAAGGAAGGAAGGAAAGAAGGTAGGAAAGAAGGAAGGAAAGAAGTAAACTTTATGTAGGTGATAAGATTACACACACAGCATATCCTAAGGAATCTGTGAAACAACTCACTAAAACAAGTGAATTCAGCAAGGTAGCAGAATACAAGGTCAACTTACAAAGTTTTATACTAGAAGGTTAAAAATTAGAAAACAAAATTTTAAAATATTCATTTTACAATAGTATCAAAAAACATATTTAAGAATAAATTAAAAAACAAGTAAGACCTTTATCTTGAAAGGTACAAAATGCTGCTGATAGAAATTAAAAATCTACAAATGGAAAGATATACCATCTCAAGGAAGAGAAGATTCAATGTTGCTAACATGTCATATCTCCATAAATTAATCCACAGATACCATGCAGCTGCAATCATTATCCCAGCAGAGTCTTTTGTGAAAATTAATGAAATAATTCTTAACCTTACGTGGAATTGCAAAGGACCTATATCGGAGCTATCCTGAAAAAAGAAGGACGAAGTTGAACAGGCCACATCACTTAACTTCGCGTCTTATTACAAAAAGCTACAGTGACGGAGACAGTATGGAAGTGGTGTAAGGATCCATGAACAGATGATCGACGTGAAAAAGACACTGCACACAAAGGACTCTCGCTTACGTAGTCCTATGGTTTTCATCAAAGGTCCCAACACAGTCAGTGGGAGGACAGCATCTCTCAAACAACAATACTGGAAAACCAGATATCCGTATGGAGAGAACTTCTGACCTTTTAGTATCACAGCATACACATAATTTCCGATGTACCACAGACCTAAAACCAAAAGCTATAATGGTAAAGCTTTTAGAGGAAACACAGGAGATGAGATTTATAGCTTCAAGACAACGCTAACATTCCTTTGAGGTCGCCAATTTGTTAGTTCACAGAAGGTAATAATCATGAAAGAAAAGAAAAACCCTGATATACTAGACATCATCAAATTAATAACTTCTGCTGCTCACAAGACACTAGGAAGACTGTAACAGGAAAGCCACAGACTGAGCCAAATACTCACAAAACATGTCTAACAAAAGGCTTATATCCAGGACATATAAGAAAGCTCCTACAACTCAATGATGAGAACACGTGCATCCCATTTACAAACAGGCAAAGGACTCAAAAAGACACTTCAAAACAGAAGATGCGTGGGGGTGCCAGGGTGGCTCAGTCAATTAAGTGTCCCACTCTTGATCTCAGCTCAGGTCATGATCTTACGGTTCGTGGGATCTGCACTGACAGCGGGGAGGGAGCCTGCTTGGGATTCTCTCTCTCCCTCTCTCTCTGCCCCTCCCCTGCTCACACGTTCTCTCTCTCAAAATAAATAAACATGAAGAAAACAAAAAGACACGTGAATGGACAGTAGGTACGTGAAATGCACACATCATCATTAATCATCAGGGAAATGCATATTAACACCACAAGAAAATACCAATATACAATGAGGAGGGTTAAAATTCAACAGATTGAGAACATCAGACACTGATGACGACACAGAGCCACCACACCTGGCTGGCACTGTTCCTGGAAATGTAACAAGGTACAATCACTTTGGGAAAAAGTATGGCAATTTCTTGTAAAATTAAGTGCATAGTAATTTAAATCTTAAGTATTTCCTTGAAATAAAAACATATCGTCACAAAATGTATGAAAACCTGTATGAAAATGTTCACAGCAATTTAATCTATAATTCATTTGCAACGAATAAGTAAATTGTGGCATATTCAAGTAATGGGACTACTATTCGGCAATCAGAAGAAATGAACTACTGATGTATACAAACAGTAGGCATAAATCATGTAGTACATGAACTCTCAAAAGAAAGAAAAACAGGATGAAAAGCGTACCAACGTTATCAAGTCATGCCCAATCTAAAATGATCAAGATTTCAGAATCAAAGAGAGACTTTAAAGCACCTATCATAGGGGCGCCTGGGTGGCGCAGTCGGTTAAGCGTCCGACTTCAGCCAGGTCACGATCTCGCGGTCCGTGAGTTCGAGCCCCGCGTCGGGCTCTGGGCTGATGGCTCAGAGCCTGGAGCCTGCTTCCCATTCTGTGTCTCCCTCTCTCTCTGCCCCTTCCCCATTCATGCTCTGTCTCTCTCTGTCCCCAAAATAAATAAACGTTGAAAAAAAAAAAAAAAAAAAAAAAAAAAAAAAAAAGCACCTATCATAATCATGCTGAATAACACAACATTTGCAATACACGAAAAATAGAATATTTTTCTAGAATAGAGTAGAGTAGATAATATTTTGAACATTTATGTGTTTAAACCCTATGCTAAGCATTTACTATGGATAATCTTATTTAATTCTTAGCAATCCAGCCTCTTACAAATGAAGAAGCTAAAGTCGAAAAATTAGTTCTGTAGGTCATCCAAAGTCACATCACTAGTATGACTCAGAAACACGCCTTAGGGCTCCTTAACTCACACTAAAGTCAAACAGAAAAGATAAGATCACTAAATAAGTTTCTCATTAACTTTACAAGTACCTCTGTGCTGGTGTGAGGTGAAGGAGGGCTATGCTAAGGGAAGACACCTCAAGAAAATATCAAACAATACAAATTAAACACCTGCTCCCTTGGGATTAGGCATACCACACCTGCAGACCTCACTGTCTTACCTTAGGGAACTGCTTTACAGGAATTAACACTTTCTGTCCCAGCTTCATGTTCTTATTAATCACCACATCGATGTACTTTTCTTCGTCCTTGCCTTCTCCTTTCTGAAACTTTTCTATTTCTGTGGAGGAAAAAAGATAACAATGAAGTATGTGACTTAAACCCCAGAGGTTGGGAGTTCTCACTAGCTCTACTGCGGCGTGAAATCAAAGACAGAAATACGGGCCATCAGATCAATATGAGTTTTTCAAGTGACGACACGTTCCCCATTTTACCAATCGTCCCTCACCAGTACAGCAGGAAAAAAGCATAAACCATCGCTCTGACAAGTCCAATCTCAACAGCCCATGCTAATGAAGGAAGCAAAACGAACCAGTTATAAAACAGACACAAACAAAACGAAATTTCTTGAGGCCTTCTGGAATCCTAGACAGAGGCTGCTCAAATAGCTAAGAAAAGCCAGAGAGTATTCTCCGTTCAGTGTTACAAGGATATGACTCCCTATTTATCAGCTCCTCCTGGCTCTCCAAGGCTCACACCAGCAGGAACTGATTCTTTCAGATGGCATTAAAAGCCCTAGACAGCTTCTGTCAGTTGACGTCCCCAACCAAATCTACCCTCCTCATAAGAGACACGGATCAACTATACACTCAGGTCTTCCCTAATGTTCCTTTCTCTACCTATAATGTTATTATTTCAATTTCATACATCTCCTTCAAGATTCAGCCACATCAAACACTATTTTTTATGTGTGACTATCCCTTTCACCAATGGGGCAGGAGGGGAAGAACCAGTCACTTCCACCTCGATACTCACACAACACTTTACGTACAACTCTACTGTAACTCCTAGATGACAAGAAAATGTGGTTCCTCCATACTGTATCTCTGTTACAGACGATGTTTGTGCCCCCCATTCATATGTTGCAATCCTCACCCCGGATGTGATGGTCTTAGGAGATGGGGCTCTAGGGAAGTGATCAAATCAGGAGGGTGGTGCCCTCATGAAAAGGATTAGTGCCTTGTAAAAAAGAGCCCCCACACCTCTTTCACCCCCACCGCCACATGAGGACACGGCAAGAAAACTGCCATCTATGAATCAGGAAGTGAGCCCTCACATGACACTGAAAATGCAGGCATGTTGATCTTGGACTTCCAGCTTCTAGAACTGTGAGAAAGAAACTTGTGCTGTGTCCACACTCCCCAGCCTACGGTATTCTGCTATACATCCCAAGTGGACCAAGACATTCTCCCACTGGAACATAAATTTTACATAAAAGTCTGTTTCTTCCTTCAACGAATGTCTACCACTAAGCACACACTCTGCGTACCTTCCAGATCTTGGAAAATATCAGTATGCGGTTTCCGCTCACTGCTGCCTGTAGCGTTTGGCTGCTTCAGAAGAACACCAACAGGTGCTTGAACGAGCGCTGGCTGAGTGGGTACGCGCACCGTTCCCCCCACAGGCCGGGCACAACCTATCCAGCACGGAGAAGGTCCAAAGACGGCGTTGGTTGCACAAAGGGCACACACCTTCGTTCGTTTTGCTTGCGGGGCTAGGAATACCAGTATTTAAAATAGGCCACAGTCAAGACATGATTCAAGCCTCAGGCAAACAGGAAGCTCAGAAAGGTTACTTTGCTAATAACAAATGATAAAGGTAGGATTTCTCTCCAGGTTTGTCTAACTAGAAAGACAGTGTGCCACTGCAGGCTCGCCCACCACGTTTTCTGTCATTTGAGACAGAAAATAAGATTTTCATGGCACCTCAGGAGAAAAGGAGGATCTGCTTACAGCTGGAGGCTGCCGTCACCACTGAGGAGCCGGGTGGCAGGGACGCCTCCTCGCGGTAATTGTCCATCCACCTACCCCTTCATTCCGTTCATTAGCACTAACCCCCCAGCTGTCTTACTTGTATTCAGAGCTAGACCTGATCTCTCGCCTCCACGGTGACAGTCTTGACACCTATCACGACAGTTCTGAATAAGGTCCTCCTCACCATTTTAACAAGTGTCAGAATAAATTGTTCCTTAACAATGCACGGTAGAAAGTCAGTATATATGTGGGACGCAATGAAAAATATTTATCTGCCCTTTGCCCCAAGTTCCTGGCACAGACCTCCTAAAACCCTACAAACTTCCTGAGTGATAGGAGTGCATTTTATCATTCCTAACAAGCCCCTTTCAGCCATACCTGCCTTTATGCTAACGAGATGACTCTTGGAGGAAAAGGGGGCTGCTTGCCAGAAAAGCCAACCATGTGGAAAAACAAGCAAGGGCCAAGCTGGCACGTTCAGCACTCCCACCTGTGGGGGCAGAAGAGGAGCTAGAAATGGAGTTCGATCACCAATGACCAATGATTTAATCAACTGTGTCCGAATCACGAAAACTGTAAAACCCCCTCAACAACAGAATCTGGGGAGCTTCCGGGCTGGTGAACACAACCACGTGCTGGGAGGGTGGTGTGCCTACAGAGGGCATGGGAGCTCCAAGCGCTTCCCCCAACACCTGGCCCTGGATCCCCTCCTTCTGTTTGGCTGTTCCCGACTTGTAGCCTTTAGAGCAAACCATAACGGTGAGTAAAATGCTTTCTTGAGAATCCTGTGACTCACTCTAGCGAATTACCCGACCTGAAGACAGGTCACGGAACCCCCAAACTTGCGGCTCGTCAGACGGCAGTGTGGGTGGCCCGGGCACCCCACCTGCAGCTGAACTCTGAAGTGGGGTGGCCTTGTGGGATGCGGGCCTCACTCTGCGGGGTCTGCCCTACCTCCAGGAGTCGGTGTCAGCACTGAATTGGATCGAATTGCTGCACACGCAGCTGGTGCTGGAGAATTGACTGGTGTCAGGAAACCCCATACGACAGGGATTAATAAGGTGGTGGGGAGGAAGATGGGGGCAAGCAGGAAAAGTCCTGAAGACAAAAAGAACGACTGAGAGAAAGGAAAAGACATCAGCTCTGCAGCTTCTGACCAAGGCGTCCAAGAATCAAGATTAATACGAAGCCTCCAAATAAACTAATGGATTATTTTGTCTTTCTTGTGTTATCCTATGTTTTGATCCTGGAAACTGACTCAAAACAGAATCTGTATGGGAACAATGTGCATGAAAATAGACGGGCGTGAAATGCAAAGACGCACTTAGATAATCCTTGTTAACTGCTGTTGAGAAAACCTTTTAAGAGTACTTTTGACTTTCTTCTCTAAAAGTACAATATATACATTGGTAAAAATTTAAAACGGTGCAACAGGATATAAACTTAAAAGAAAAGGTTTCTCCTATACCAATACTCCAGAAGTAACGATTATAACAATTTTATATACTCTTCCAGAAGTTTTCCACAAATAAACACATATGCCCATATGCACACACACGCGCACACATATGCACACGCACACGCGCACACATATGCACACGCACATGGGGTTTGGAAACTAGAACTACTGGTGGAAATAAGCTAGCCTAGTTTTGTTTTCCTCAGTAAAGAATAAGTCACACTTTATCTGCTCCATCGAGTATAACAATTCAAGACTTCAGCTTTAATTAGAAGAAAATTCATTCCACATTTTTACTTATGCATTTATGGTATAATTGGAAATGCCTTTAGCATAAAAGATTCAACAAAATTAGATATACTGAAACTTTGTAGAAAGAAAACAAAAAACATTTAATGAACATAAATGTTCATTAATATAAGTGTAATTACCTGTTTTTTTTAATATCTATTTTTGAAAGGGAGATAAAGAGGGAGAGGGAGACAGAGCATGAGTGGGGGAGGGGCAGGGAGAGATGGGGAAACACAGAATCTTAAGCAGACTCCGCACTGTCAGCACAGAGCCGGACACAGGGCTCAAACTCAACGAACGCTAAGATCATGACCTGAGCTGAAGTCAGACGTTTAACCGGCTGAGCCACCCAGGCGCCCCGTAATTACCTATTTTCAAATAACACTGTATTTTTATGATTTGTGAAAACTTATAAGCATAATATATAATTCCATAATCAACATTCAAATATCATTCCTTGCATCAATGATATGAAACAATTTAAGTACCACGTAAAATCATAAAGGTTAAAAAATTAGAAAAAAATTATTTGAGATACACCTATGACTTTGAAAAGGCAAATAAAAATTTTAAAAATATATGCTACGTAATTTCCTTCTCTAGACAGTCAACTCTGAAAATCTTATGTTGCTAAAATATCTTGCTACCTTAAGTAAGCTTTGAATTATGTTAATATATAATATTTCACTGTTTAAGACTTATCTGAAAATTGTTGAAGCCTGATGCCACACCACATGCATGCAGGTCTCCAGGTAGTGGAACTAAAACACCACACAGCAATAGAAGCAGCCAAATCCCGTGCCTGGGGTCAAACACACCTCACTAAAATCATGGCCACTATACTTGTCCAAAGCCCTCCAGCTACCAAATTCAAATTGCGCGCGCAGGCGCGCGCGCGCGTGCGTGTGTGTTTTCTAGGCACTATTCATTCAATCAACAAGTCTCGGTTTTCCAGCTGATTGAGGATTATGATAAGTAGTTTGATGTTTTCATGAAAAATCATGAAATTACATTTAATAAACAATGCAAAAAAAAAAAA